TACAAATAGTGGCAAATCCCTCAGCCCCCTGGAGGGAAATAGCCATGGATTTTATAGTGGAATTGCCAGAAAGCAATGGGAATACTGTTGTCTGGACGGTCACGGACTTGTTTTCCAAACAGGTGCACTTTATCCCTTGCCAAAAGATTCCCACTGCAAAAGCCTTAGCGAAACGTTTCGTCCAGCACATTTACAGATTGCACGGGGCACCCCAACGCATCATCTCTGATAGGGGAGTGCAATTTACATCTGCATTTTGGAAGGAATTTTTATCCCTTTTAGGAACCACTCAGGGACTGACATCTAGCCACCACCCACAAGGGAATGGGGGGGGGGGGCGGAAAAAATGAACTCAGATCTACCTTTCTTAAATCCTAACTATTTTCTTTATCTGCATAAGCTGCCTTAAGATTTTACCCCTCCCTTCTTAAAAACAGCAGCAACTGACTATCCAGGAGAGTTTTAAAAAATGTTGTAAGAACCTGATCCTAATTGGAATTTTATTTCTTAAAGTTTGTGGATTAAAAGACTTTCTACTCTTACTGATGATCTGGGTTTTTATTTATAAAACAGAAATAAAACTGAAAAGATTATAAAAACTTTGGACCTAAAGGAAAATTTTAAATATAGGGGCGACATCTGATGAAACCTGATATTACAACCTGTTATTGTTTAAAAGAGACTCGGCTGGTAGCCTAGACCAGTGATGGCGAACCTTTTACAAACTGAGTGCCCAAACTGCAACCCAAAACCCACTTATGCATCATCAGATGCCGGGTGGGTGTGGCCCATTGGGTGGGTGTGGCTGCGGTGGTAACAGCAGACAGGGTGGGACTAAAAAGTTCAATCAATCAATTCCAACTTTGCAAGATCTTTTTTTCCCGCAAGAAGTTGAAATTGATTGATTGATTGAACCTTTTTTTTTTGTACACGGTGGCAGAGGCCTAAAGCGAAAAGGTTTTATAAAACCCAGCTGAAGGCCTAGGACTGGGGCAACGGTGTACATGCCCACAGGGAGGGCTCTGAGTGCCGCCTCTGATACCTGTGCCATAGGTTCACCACCATGGGCCTAGATAATAGATAAGATGTATAACCTTGAGACACTTATCAGCAGTGAAGCCCAGCTGTGTTCCATGCTCACTGAATTTTTTTTATATTCTCTGATTGCAAAGCCTTTAATCTAACACATTACTAAGAGAATGTGGAGGAAGATCAGGAACAGATTCTCTTTATGCTGAAAGCATAAAGAAATAAGAGGTTACAGAATAAAACAGGATGTCAGCCCAGATACACGAACTCAAATTTTGATTACAACTTAAAAATCAACTACACAGAATATAATGGAAAAAATGGACCAATTAAATACTATGACTGAGGATTCAATTGATCGACAAGTAAATGGAAAACCCAGAAAAGGGAAAAGATTTTCTACATAAATTAGAAGAAACTTGAGGATCAAGAAGAACAACAGATTGAAGAAAAGATAAACAGTTTAAGACAACTACATCAAGATGGAAAAATAGAGACAGTTTGTTAGTCCTCTCAAAAAAAATGGCCATCGGTGGGTTTTTTTCTACGTCAAACAACATACATAATAACACAGGGAGATTTATTTGATGACTCAAAAGCATGGACATGGAAGACAATTTGGCAAAGAAAGAAAGCTAGAATAAGACTGAAGAAAATTGGGGTTTTGACTTTCTAGTGGGAATTAAAACAGAATATTCTCAAAATAGATAAGATGTATACCTTGAATATTAGAAATTGTTATGAGTTAAAGGATACTTTGTTTATTTAGACTTGGAAATATAAACATTAATAGTTAAATTTGAATATTGAATATTGAATATAAAGGTAATTAAAATATATATAAACTAGAAATGTATTGATGAATGTAACAAATATGTTTTTATTTAATGGTAATAATAAAAATTATTAGCTTAAATATAAGATAGTAGATATTGAGAGAAAAAAGAGAAAATATTAAATGTTGAAATAAGAGAAATTTTGGTTATTAAATTTAAGATATTTAGAAATTACCAGAAAATAAGAATATTATATTGTATTATTAACCAGCTGATGTAAGATCCAGGGATGAATTGTGATAAAGAGAATTGGGGTTATTTAAAATTTGGAAACTTATTAAACGTTAAATTTAAATATTTATGGGAAACTAAAAATTGGGAAAAACTTACCAGGACATTGATTGTCTAAAAAGACTGAATGTTAAAATGACTAAGATATGTATAAACTAAAAATTATTGATAAATGTAAGAAAGCTATTTGTATTAAACTGATATAATAAGAATTGTATTAATTCAAATGTGAGACAGTAAATACCAAGGAAAAAGAGAGAAATATGTAATGTAATAGTTTGTGATTTGTACTAAAGAAATTTGTATGTTATTGAATTTGAACCAACCCAGCCGCCACACTGCTTTTCAAATATGTAAATGTAAAACTGGAAAATCAATAAAAAATTTTTTTAAAAAAGCACCACTGGTAATCTCAAAACGTAAATTAAAAGGAGGGGGAAATGAAGAAGTAGCCTAATACGAAAAACACAGTTCTGTTATGCAAAGGAAGAAGAAAGTGAATGACTCTTTCAGCTAATAGTTGAACACACGAAGAATAATTAACACAGAGGCCTAGGGCATTAATCAAAATAAAATACAATAAGGTAAGTAAGCAGCACTAGGAAAATCTACCTCACCCTATTAAAAGATAAAACCTACTATGGAATGAAATGCTGCAAGCTTATCACCAATTCTCAGCATAATGTCTTTTCTTTAACATTACCAATGCAAACTCAGTTCAGGATCAGTTAAAAAAAACTATATTATTGTTTTAAAAAGCAATGTCAAGGACACAGAAAAGCATGCAGTCCCACCTAGTTCAACTTCTGGCCCCCAAAAGGCAGTTTGTAGTTCTGATGTTAGCAATTAGGAACTTGAAAGGAGAGCCAGTTTGGGTGCTAGCCTAGAAACCAGGAGACCAGGACTTCTAGTTTCACATTAGTCATGAAAACCGGCTGGGTGACCTTGGACTAGTCACTCTCTCTCAGCCCAACCTATCTCATGTGGCTGTTGTTGTGGGGAAAACAGGAATACAGGTAATCCTCAATTTATACCCACTCAATCAGTGACTATTTGAAGTTACATCAGCACTCAAAAAAGAGACTCACAACCCTTCCTCGCACCCTGTCCCCAAGATCATGTGATCAAAATTTGGGTGCTTGGCGACCAGCATGAATTTACGACAGTTGCAGCATTCTGGAGTCATGTGACTGGCCTCTGCAACCTTCCCAGTTGGCTTCCAACAACCAGAATCAACGAGGGAAGCCAGATTCACTTAATGACCATGATTCACTTAACCACAGTGATTCACTTACCAACCATGGCAAGGAAGGTGGTAAAATTGGGCACAATTCACTTAACAACCACCTTGCTTAGCAACTGAAAGTCTGATAATAATAATGAGGTAATAATTCAAGGACTACCTGTATCATGTATGTTTGCTGCCTTGAGTTACTTATAAAATAAGACAGATGGGATAAAAATCTAAGACATAAATATGTAAACAAACAACAAATGCAGCCTTTGGGGGGAAAACAAACAAACAAAACAGAGCACATTAGAACCAGTAAAGTAATGAGAAAAAAAATAACAGGAGTGAGTTGGATGGTACCAGATCTCTCTCTCTCTCTCTCTCTCTCTCTCTCTCTCTCTCTCTCTCTCTCTCTCTCCTCCCTCCCTCCCTCCCTCTCCCCCCCCTCTCTCGTAGAATTTATCTAGTAAAGTCAATAAAGATTCTGATCAAGAAATGTTGTCTGTAGCTTCTGCCTTCTGACAGAATTCAAATATACTAAATACAAACTTTATTCCAATCTAATTTGGTTATAAAGAACTGAGAATCTTCATGGCAGGTTTAATTGGTTTCAAAGTATGCTTAAGTAGCACTAAATAGAGTGCACTAAGAAGAATTTCATTTCCTATTGGAAATCCTGTTTTATAGTTCAATTCATTCCTCTTTGGTTGACCATATTTGTGAGCGTACAATATTAGTCTAGTTTATAAATGTTTCTAGTTTTTTTATATAATGTGTTAGAAAAGTGGTATGGAATTTTACTGGGGCAAGAATAAACACCCAGATGGTCTAATGGCTAATGTTTGTTAACATTTGGAAATGCTTGTTCCCTTGATAGATATAATTCATGGTAATGTAATTTCTTTAATAGCAGTTGACCTAAGATATACTTCATTGTATTTTTCAAAAAGCAGATTAATTTTAGACAGTTATAATCTAGGTTATTCATGACAGCCTATTTTAATTAACCAAAACAATATTAAATTATAACTATCAAATATTCCCTGAAATTGATTAATGTACAGGTATGTCCTTTGTACCCTACAAGAAAGAGATTATTCACAGTAAGCGAATATTAAATTTGACATAAATTCAAGAGCACACATAACATATATCATTTTTTTAAAAAAGAAAGAAAAAATCATCTGCTTTGTGTTAAATATTGGAAAGATGATAGATAGATAGATAGATAGATAGATAGATAGATAGATAGATAGATAGATAGATAGATAGATAGACAGACAGATAGATAGATAGCTTTAATTTTATAGGGGCAAAATTTGGGACACACGTAAGAGATGAAATCAGGTCAGAAAATTAAAAGCAAGAATGTGTTATTTTTTTACTGCAGAATAGAAATATTTTGTTCTGAAATATGGTATATTTTATTTTTTTAGCTCATTGCTCCAGAATCAACCAACCATTTATCTGGCTATCTGGATATTTCAGGAAATCTAAAAGCATCTGCATTCTCATGGGAAGTGAAAGGAATGAGACCTCCTGGGGGCACAGATTATACCATCTGCTTAAATAAGCTGTGTCCTTGTAATTAGAGCTAATGATATTATATAACAAATCTGCTAGCAAATGGAAAGTGAGTTAAGCAAGATCCCTGTCGATTATTAGACACTCACCTCAAGTTTGAGAATGTCATGCTGAAGTTTGCGTTGGAACTCCAAGAAGTGGGAGATGGTCAGTTTCCCCTTCAAATCAGCTCCAAAAAAGTATGTTGTCAATGCTGAATTAAAGCCGGTCTTCAACGTATTCCCAGTAGTTGAACGGTCTCTGTGACGCATACCCATGCTAGTCTGGGAACGAATGATGCTCTGAACCTACAGTTTGCAAAACAATAATAGCAGTAGCATTTAGACTTATATACCACCCTATTGCGCTTTACAGCACTCTCTGGGCAGTTTCCAATGTAAGCATTATTTGCACATTGCCCACAACAATCTAGATACTCATTTTACTGACTTTGGAAGGATGGAAGGCTGAATCAATCTTGAGCCCCATCAAGATCGAACTCCAGGTTGTGGGCAGAGTTTGCTTCCAATACCGCATTCTAACCACTGTGCCACCAAGGCTCAAAAGTTGAATACCCAGCTATAACTAGGTAGATCACAGTTTTGTTATCTCCCCAAAATGACTGAAGCTACTATTTATTTTAATGTGCACATTAAGTTGAGTTGTTCACTAGAGAATTATCCAGATTAGATGGCTGAAATACAGAACAATCCCTATTTTGCTCTAGAGACAAATTTGGCAATGCCCAGTATTTCCAGTATGGTCTATCCAAGTAATGATAGATAACCATTGGCCTTCCAGATACTGCTCTATTATAGCTCCCAGAAATCCCAACCAACAAAGAACCACAACAGATGACCAGAAGGACCACATCTGTGCAAGGCTTCACAAATATGAAGTTCAGAGAAATTATGTATTAGTCCAATTGAAAAGAAAAGGTAATCATGATTAAGATGGAGACGACTATGCATTTCCATTATTTCTCCAATGGATATTACATTATGGCAAAGTATGAAATGGATGTTTTGTTGTATTTGCTTGACTGTGAATTTTTACAGAACTTTATATGAAACTAGCAAACCTGATTCTATGATGATTTCGCCTTAGAAATATCAAATCATAGGGCTGAAAGGGACTTTGGAGGTCTTCTAGTTCAACCCACAGTTCAAGGCAGGAGTCTTATACAATCCCAGGTTGTCCAACCTATTTTTTAATCCTCCAGGGATGGAGCATCCACAACCCCAGGAGGGGTTGATTAATTGCTCTCACTGTCAGAAAATTTCTCCTCACTTCCAGGTCATATCTCTTTTTGACAAAATTCTATCCATTACTTCTTGTCCTGCCCACTTTGCCCTAGTCAATCCCCTCTTTTTTGTGACAGCCCCTTAAGCACTGGAAGGTAGTTATTGTGTCCTCCCTAATCCTTCTCTTTGATACTGAGATCTTACATCTTTTAATGCTTGCCATTCAGTAGGGTTTGATTGTGGAATGTAGTGAGATGGAACACAGAGAGATATATTGAGGGCATGGCCAATGGAAACAAAGCTGCCTCTTCTATTCTATGAGCATTTCAAAAATGTTCAGTAGCTCCTTTTCATAAAATGTTGTTTGGCCAATAATGGACGGAGTGGGCAAATATTTTACAGCTTTTTTATTAAAGCATGGGGGCATCAGAGAGAATTGCTTCAGGCGTGGACATCTCATTTGGGAAGCCCATTCCCCAAACTTAAGAATACCTTTGTCTTATGGGGGATCTAGTTAGAGTCAAAAAATGATCAATAGAAGTAGTCCAAACCTCATCTTTGCCAGCTCTGCAATCTTGTCAGATTTTTTTAAAAAAGAGACGTGAAAGCTCCCAACAGTCTGCAATTTGCTTTAAAAAAAAACCAAGCAGTCTTATAAAACAGAGATTGTAATAGCATGTCCTACTGGTCCAGAGTACCCATTCATACTTCCCCAAATGTGTATTAAATTAATTGACAGTTCAAGGTGCATAGAACACTTTAGCTATAGATCCTCCAAATCCGTGCTGCCTAATTGGGACAGAGAGGGAGGTCCTTGGATGTATGTGCATGGAATGCCAGGGTGTATGTACATCTTCCCAGCACGGTCACCAAGTCATGAAAATCATCTCAGCTTTCCAGCTAAAATAAAAGGCACTTATATTATGCAGCAGCAATATAAGAAAATGCTAGAGGCAGATGATTGTTTTAGTGACAATGGAACAAAGCATCACTTCGTATTATGTAGGAGAAGGCAGTTGTACCTTGGTGATTTACCAAGAAAACCACAGTATGCAAGCTATCATGCAATGTTTTTAATTTCAAATGCTAGGGGGAAAATGTACAGGATCATCCAACAGAGGTTACAGCATTAGATGGCAAGAACAATGCCAAATGTTCAAGCTGGTTTTAAAAAAGGCTGAGGAACAAGAGATATTGCTGATGCACTAAGGATAATTGAGAAAGTCCAGAATGCTACTTTCCCAATCAGCATGTGCTTCATTGATTAGCCTTTGTTTATGTCAACTATGTTGAGCTGTGATCAGTAACGTGGGAATCCCAAACATCTAATTGTCTTTACACTAATCTGGCATTATAGATCAGGAAGTCCATAGCCTGAGTGGAGCATGGAGAAATAGACTGGTTCCAGGTTGGCCAAGAAATGAGACTAGGAAGTATAACTTCTCCTTCTTTATTCAACCTATCTGTTGCATATATATTGAGGGACTGAAACTGGATTAGAAAACAATGGAGTTTTACAACTGGAGGAAGAAACAATAATTTTGCTGATGATGTCTCACTGACAGTTGAAAATGCAATTGATCTGCGAAGTCTAACGATGCAACTCAAGGTGCATGAGGAAAAAAACAGGAATAACTTTGAATAAAAAAAGATCAAATCAATGACAAGAGGTGTAGCAAACTGCCTTAGAATGGGCAAATAAGATGTTGAAGTGGTGGTTAGCCTTTGCCTTTCAGAATTAATTATCAACAAAAAAAGGACCAATTGTCACAGACCAGCATTTGGTAGAGAAGCAATCAAAATCTTGGAAAAGATATTTAGATGCTGCAATATGTTTCTATCTGCAAAGATGAGAATTGTTTTCCCTTTAACACTCTAGGGAAATAACAACTGGACAAACACTGCACACAGAGAAACAAACAACTGTTATAGTATTTGACAATTTCTAAGGATTTTGTTCTCAGATTATTGATTTTCTATGAGAAAGCAGAAGTGAAGAATGAGGTTATTTTCACACAACCAAAAAGGTCAGAGTAGCCTGGCAACTTTAATTCTAACCCGGATAATAGCAGCATGATTACTAAGTCACTAAATAGAATTAAAAATGCTGGAAAACAATCCCAGCTGCTTTTCAATTGTGCATATGAATTTAAACACAAATTCAAATTAAAAAAAATTAGAAAGTAAATCAGTACTGACAATCTGTAAACAAAGAAGACAAGAATACCTGAAAAACACACACACACACACACACACACACACACACGTAGGTCTTTGGTTATTCGGGTTTCTCCCGTGTAAAATTGGAAGTGTCTTGGTGATGTTTCGACGAAGTCCCATTCGTCATCTTCAGGCTGGTGTTTTCGGCTTCGTGCTTCTAAGAGCAATGTGTGATCGTAGCTGTTTCTTCCTTTTAACTGCCAGTGGGGGTATGAACTGATTGGGTGGGAGCTTGGCTGTGTTCTGATTGGGTGGAGGTGTGTTCTGATTGGTTAGGGGCTTGGCTGTGCTCTGATTGGATGGGAGGGTTGGCTGTGCTCTGATTGGATGGGGAAGTGTTCTGTTTGGGTGGAGGCTTTGTTGTGCTCAGGAAAGTCTGAGTTGCAGGGGGATTTGAGATGATGAGCTGCGTTGCTGTTGTTTGGCTTCGCATTCGTGGTCATGCCTCATCTTCATGGTGGGTGTCAGTTTGCTTCATGTATGGATTGGAGGGGTTTAAAGTGGCTAATGATGCAGCTGTGGTCTGGACACTTCCAATTTTATGCGGGAGAAAACCCGAATAACCAAAGAAACAAACACCCGCGAAAACCTCAGAATATATATATATATATATGCTTAAATATTGGATCTGACTTATTTTAACCGCTTCATTTGTAAAATTATTTCAAACTGATTTATGATGTTGAGATTGAATTGTATGTTGTATTTTGTAAGCTGCCTTTGAAAGACTGTTATCTTGAAGGAGAGCTAAGAAATACATTTAATAATTCAATAAAACAAAGGAATATTCAGCATAAATACCTAGCAGGAACAAGATTTCAAATCTTGGCAATATTCCTGGACAGGTAATTAATCATCCAATAGAGAACTGAATTTACGATGTTTCTTTTTATTATGTGATATTCCAATACAGAGAAATGAGTGGTTACTGCCCTAACTTCTCCTCTGATACAATCATTGCAGTCTTTTCATACTAGGAAAAAAATCTTGCTTTTCAAATTAGTCAGTAGTCTGCCAGTTTTTAATGTTCCAGTGCAATGGAGCTAATTTTTAAGTACAGAGTATCACTTCCTCCTACAATATTAGGAGGTAAGACCTTTAGTGTTATTTTAATAGGTAATCTAACGCAACCATCTCAATGGTTGGAAGACTGATGTAGACAGAAGATACAGGAAAAAGGAATCATAAAAAGGAATATGGTTGCCTGCTTTGAGACACAAAAGTTTGCCATTCCCATTTTAAAATATTACTTGCTTTTTAAAGGAGATTGCTGAGTTTCATCTTATGCCTGTTTGAAAAGGATTATTAAACTTTGCCGAAACACCATTGACGGTGGGTGGCAGGAAGCATCTTCATAATTTTCTCCATTTCCCTCTCTCATAAAGTTTTCATTTATGACAAGGGATTCTCAGTGTAGGCAAGTGGGAAATAAAAATATCCTATGGTCTACAACCACAAACAGTGACAAAAGAAAGGCAAAAGATGTTGTTATATAGGGGAAAATATGAGCAAATTCTGTGTCAATTTCAGGGCCATTCAGTAGTTCAACTGTTGGCAATGGTTTTAGAACTGTAATAAAAATATAGCTCCTAGCTGTGAGTCTCTCGGGCAGTTCAACTTCCTGTGTGATTAACTTAAGGAAACTGACACCTCTAAGGTTAGGTGATGCTCCAGTCTTAGAAGGGAATATGCAATCTGAATGAAAAAAGGACTAGAGGTGACATGATAGCAATGTTGCAATATTTAAGGGGCTACCACAAAGAAGAGGGTCAATCTATTTTCCAAAGCACCCAAAGGCAGGATAAGAAGTAATGGATGGAAACTAATCAAAGACAGAACCAACTCAGAACTAAGGAGAATCTTCCTAACAGTAAGAACAATTAACTGGTGGAATGGCTTGCTTTTAGAAGTTGTGGGTGCTCCATCACTGGAGGCTTTAAAGAAAAGACTAGATTGCCAATTGTCAAGAATGGTATATGGTCTCCTGCTTGATCAGGGGGCTGGACTAGAAGACTTCCAAGGTCCTTTCTAACTCTGTAAATTTTATTCTATTTTATTTTGGAAGTACTTGGAAAGAGGTTTTTTTTCCCAATGTTGGGCACTGGCAAAAGGCAAAATCAAGCACCCCACACTTGATCCAGAAGAGCTCAGCATAAAAGACTATATTTTGGCTAAAGTCAAAGGATTCCTAACTCTAGGAATCTGCAGTATTCACCCTGGTTATTCCCTCCCTCCCCACCCCTGCCCCGGGTCTCCCTAGGCACCAAGTCTTCAATATTCACCCTGCAAAGATCGAGATCCTTCGCTTTCTTGGCTGCTCCAGACTTTCGGTGAGTTCGCAGAGAATGGAGGCCTAAAATAATGCAAGATCACGTGAGATCAGTGGGGAGAGATCTCACACTACTGATCTCGTGTGATCTCATGGTACTTTAGGTCTCTGCGACAGAGAACAGAACCGAAGCTTCCGTGTGCCTCCGGACACTGGATTGGGACGTTGGAGGCTTTTTCCAGACCGCTGCCACCTGGATCTGAGGCCAGGTGACACTTCCATGGCCCTGTGGCAGCCCGATCCAGGCGCTGGAGGCCTTCTCCAGGCTGCTGCCGCCCGGATCTGAGGCCGGGGTACGCTTCCGCATGCCTCCAGCAGCCCGGATTCAAGCGTTGGAGGCCTTTTCCAGGTTGCAGAAGCATCCCCAGGCCTCAGATCCAGGCGGCAGTGGCCTGGAAAAGGCCTCCGACACCCCGATCCGGCCTCTGGAGGCACACGGAAGCGTTCCCTGGCCTCAGTTCCAGGCAGCAGCAGGAACCGTGACAGAGAAGAGACAGATCTTTTCAAGTTGAGTCTGGCACGGCAGGAAGGGAGGGGGAAGCATGAAGTATTTTAGTGGGTCGGGGGGGCCTTAGGGGCCTGTTCCCTTACTAAGCCCCCCATGTCCTTCCCCACCCTGAGATACCTCATTTCACTTAATGAGCCACGTGCATCTTAACGAGCAAGGGAGTGATTTCGTTCGAGGTACGAGATTCACTCCCACAAGTTTTCAAGTTATGAATGGAATGGGCAGGATCCATTACACTCGTAACTCGAGGACTACCTCTATTCCTTATTCAGTGAGGTTCCCAAAATATTTCCAACTATTTAGCTTCTGAAAGAAAATCCTACTTTGGAACACTGTATAAACAGTTATTAAATATATTGTTTCATGTCAATATTACTTTGTGGTAATTCCGACAAATGATTAACAGTACATTTATTTCTTCCACTTTGAATTCTCTTTGGGAGTATTTTTTTTCCCTCTTGTCATGTAATCAGTTTAACTACCTATTTTTCTACAAATGCTTTCATTTTTCTCTCCCTTTGTAGATTTATTTCTGGGGGCTCTCCCTCATTTAATAGTAAGAATATTTTTGGGACTTTGGAAGTGTTAAGTTATTTTGCAGTAGAAAAGCAGTTTCTGAAAACCTTAAAGTTTATGAGAATCACACTAGAAAAGCATATACACATTTTTATTAAAAAGATATGCAGTCTTTTTTTTTTGCTAGATATTTTATATGCAGTTCAAAAACATTCTCTCTAGTAGCAAAGACAGATGTATTGATTGAACCCCAGAAGACAGGAGTGAGGATGTTAGATGTCTGTTTGGAACTGTGTGTATCTTTTGAAAAAGTCAAGGGGGCAATACCTTAAAGAAAATCCATACTGAGACAACCCAAGAACATTTAGCAAGCTCACTAACAACTGGAAATTAGTTAGATGAAAAACAAAGAGGAAATGAAAGGGTAGGGAGGAGAAAAAAGAAACAGGATTGCCAGCACTATTGCCAGAAGTAACCCAACACACTTGGAAGGCGTCAAGTTGAGGAAAACTGCTTTACATAGAGACAGAATCATATAGATTGTCTATATGTATGTATTATGTATATACTCTTAAGACAGTGGTGGGATTCAGTTGGTTCACACCACTTCAGCAGAACCAGTAGCTATTTTTTTATTGCCCAGGTCCAGAATGGACTTCTGGAAGCGGCATCCACCCAGAGAGCTGGTTGTTCACATATTTGAATCCCACTACTGTCTTAAGAGCAGAAAACTGCACAAATTTGTCTTCTTAAAACATATGTAAGAAGGGGGGGGGGGAAGAAACAAAAACTTGCCTGTTCAAATTCTTCCATATCCACTTCTCCATCACCATTTAGATCAAACATCTTGAAAGCAATTTCAAAATTTCTCTGAGGAGCTAGAAAAAAACCAATATATTATACAGATTACATTATGGAGTAAGAAGAAAACAGCAATGATTTGAGAGTGGTATTATGGCTTAAAACATTTTTTTTCAAAAAAGCACTTGTTTTTGCAATATATTTCTTATGTTTCTTCAGTGAGTTTTTTTTCTTGTTTTTGTTTCTGCAGCTTTGTTGATATGTTAATATCAATATCTTAATAGTCCTCTTTAGCAATTTTCTTGCAAAAATATATCTCTGTAATATCTTGAAATTATGAGCTCCGGAGGGCTATTTTTCCTCCAGTAAGTCCATATTACATTTCATAACTTTATTTATGGATCTACGCACAAAACATCTGTAATTTCTGTCCTCTCCAAGGAAATAGGACAGAGAAAGCCTAATTAGAAAAGGAGGATCCAGAGCTGCCAAACTAAGAGTCCCAAATCTAAGCATGAATTTAAATGCAGATTGTTTATGAGGGCAGCACTTTGATAACTTTATGTGGAGACGAATTAGGTGGGACAAGTGGGACAATGAAAGGTTTTAATTAACCCATTTTCAATGTAATCACAATAAGATTCTGTGTGAAAAATCAGACAAATGACAATTTCATTTTAAGTACTATTTAATTGAAATCAAATCCTACTATTTTCATCTGGAGTTAGTTCTGTTTTTTTTTTTAAACAAGTTTTATTGTTTTTTTCATTTTAATAACAAGTGCTTAAGAAACAATGTGGTGGCTGGGCAATCAATTGTCCACAAAACAAAGTCATACTCATAAAAACCTCTTCTCTTTTCCCTCTAATGACATATTATATTCAAATTGATATATTTCAATACAACTAAATCAATCATAACAATCCTCAATAATCTTTCATCTAAATAAATCCACAAATTCAGGTCCTATGTTAAGTTTAACTATTTCACTTGCTATGTTCCATATTTCTAATCTAAATACTTAGTTAACACTTTGGGAGTCTCCCCATTACCTTTTTCCTTAACATATTCAATAAACATTTATTAATATCATTTCTTCTTTTTTCCTATTCCTCTTCCATTACAAAACGACTATCAGTTCTAATAAGAAAAGAAAATATTAGTTCAAATCAGAAAGGAAAAAAAAGGAACAAAGAAGAAAAAACAGAAACAAAGCAAAGAAAAGAGAAAAAATACCTTTCCATTTCTATTTTTCTTTATAATCTAACAATCAATTCCTCAATATCTGTATCAAGTTTCTTTAACATCCTTCCAAGGTTACTGTATCCAAAGCATATTAATACATAGACAAAACAACTTGTTATTAAGTTTAAATCTTTAATTACTTTTTATTCAATCTAACCTCTTATTTAACTGTCTTAAGCCATAAATCAATCCATATCTAATAAGCCTTTTAAACCCATTACATAAAACCTTAAGTCATATTCTTAAATCTTATTCTAGCTTTCCTTTTATGCCAAACCGGTTTCCATAACAAGGCCTCTATATCAGTGGTTCTCAACCTGTGGGTCGGGACCCCATTTGGGGTCGAACGACCATTTCACGGGGGTCGCCAAACAATGCAGTCCGCCATTTTTTCCCCTTTTCTTTAGCTGTACTACTCCCTTTTATTCTATTGGCTTTTGAAAGCCAATAGAATAGACTCTCTTGAATAGAGTCTAATTCTATTGGCTTTCAAAAGCCAATAGGAATTGTCCAGGCTGTCTCTGCCCTGCTGAGCCTGCCAAAAGTCCCATTCTGCAAACGGTGCTGCAAGTTGTCTGCAGCGAAGGCGAGCTGTCTGGAAGTTTCCATCCCTCCCTGCTGAGCAACTACTAAAAATGTAAGTAAAAGAGGGCCAGGGGTGGGAGGTGGGAGGCCGGCGGGCGCAGGGTGGGTTGCTGGCGTGTGTGGGGCCCGGTGGGTGCCTTACCTCCCTTGGGCTGGGCCAGCTGGTGGCCCAGCCGGTGGTTGGCCTGCGCCGTCTCTGCCGCTTGCCAGCTACGCCTCATCCGGCACAGGGGGCGGCACCATGCATGCGTGGCGCTCCTGGGCAGGGAAAGTCCTCGACTTACGACCGGTTGAGTAGCCCTCGACTTACGACCGGTTGGGGGTCGTGGCATTAAAAGTTGAGAACCACTGCTCTAAATGAACTGTCATAAGTAGAGAACTATCTGTACTTTCCCTTAATACCACATTAGGAATATTTGATTTGATATGTATTTTCCTTTTATTATACAAGCAACCATGTATTTCTGCTTACAATGATCGAGATATTTACTCCCTTAGATTTTAATGGTGTAGGTTGAATTTATTCATTCATTCATTCATTCATTCATTTATTACATTTCTTAACCTCTCACATCCCTCCCTCCCTCCCTCCCTCCCTAGAGCCATTGTATTCAATAAAATTACATTTTGAATGTCTCCAAAATGCAATTTCAGGCCTGGCAGTTTGGCAATTGCCCCTAAGAAAATGGAAAGGTCCTTCCAGAATGGTCTCTCAAAGGTGCTTTTTCCAAATGACAACTGGATTTTCTTTCTGGATGATTGAGAATATCCATAAACATACTTCCAAACTGGTAGTAACGTATGGAAAGAAATAATGGATGGGAGACCTAGATCAGTTGGCAAGGTCTATCAGAGGTCTCATAATGGAAGCAAACTAGGTTACTTAGTTTACCGTTATAAACCGAGGAATGTAAAATCATAGCCTTGTTGATACGCTGCATGCAAATCTGAAAAGGATATAAAGGACTTTAAACAAATAGTAATATATCAAAAGATATCTACATCTCAAATGTATCTTAGTTTAATTTCCTTAGAAGCCCTGAGAACAGTAGTTTTGTAACGCAAATATATGGTGTCTGTAGGCAGGGAAAATCCTTTGAGAGTTCTCTGTACCATCTCAAGCTATATTTCCTTCAATGCTCTGGGGAAGCTATGATAATTGTTTAGTAATAGGATACTAGAAACAGAATCAGCATTAAACATTTTGAAGAAAGCCATGTATTTCTTATACCAAATTAGTCTGCGCTGGCTTCTATTGCATATGAATGAATACTGTGCTGCATAATTCAAATAGCCCTCTGAAGATGCATTTTCCCACAGGGAGATATATTTTCTGTTCTCTCCCAATAAGAGGAAAGAATTAAAAACCCACCCACCCCCCATATTATGCAGAATAATTATAGTGACTAATTTTGCATATAATGTATTGGGGAGGAGAGAACAAGAGAGAAAGTAATATGATTAATGGTATAATGAGGGGTATCTAAGGAAAACATCTCAGTTCATTGAAATTCTTTTAGGGTTTCAGGGGCCTAATATTCCTGTTCTCCAGCACAAGATGAGAATATTAAGACATTAGCAAGGACTTTTACTATAAATAGCATTCTCCGTTTAGTTCTTATTGCAGAATAGTATAAATTTGCTAAAATTCCATTTAGGCTTTTTGATGACCACCAGAAAATGTTACGAGGCTCAGTGGTCCCCAACCTTTCCAATTTGGCGGCCCGATGCAGGGGAGCGTGTGAGTGGCAGGTGCATGCACACACATACAGCTCCATTTGTGTGAGCGACAGGCGCACGTGGCCTCCACTTTCACGTGGAGTTTCGCTTGCACATGCTTGCCTGCTGCTCACGTTAGTGGAGCTTTATGTGCATGCACTTGCCCATCTCTCCTGCGGCCCAGTTTCAAACAGGTTGGGGACCCCTACTCTAGGCAGTTCTCACATGTAGAGAATATGAAGGGCTTAGTGTCAAAGTTTAAAGGCAAATATACTCAATATTAACTTCTCTTGTTATGTATGTGTACACTTTGAGAGCAAGCAAATAAATTTCATTTTTAATGTGTGCCATTGTGCCCACAGTAAAAAAATAACAATAAATGTTATCATCATCATGATTAATATTCTTTTCGTGTTTTCATGTTTCATGTAAAATATTAATGAGGCATGGGGAACTGGAAGTACAGTCACTCAAAAGATCGACAGGTTTTAGGATCCACAGGTAGTCCTCAACTTACAACGGTTCATTTAGTGACCATTCAAAGTTGCAACAGCACTGAGAAAAAGTGACTTATGCTTTTCACACATATGACTGTTGCAGCATCCTCATGGCCACATGATCAAAATTCAGGCGCTTGGCAACCGACTCATACTTTTTTTTTTATTTTTCTAAACTCTCCCCCATACATATACCGTAATACTTATCAGATATTAACATACATTCCCCCCACACTCACATACAGATACTTTTAACAAAATGAAATAAATACATACACATAACTTTAGTGTTGCTCGCCCATTTCCCCTTTCACCGTATCCACACTCCTTCTTCTTTACCTTCTTTCTCCCTTTCTTCTCTTCCCTACTTCCCTCTTCTTCCTCTCCTCTCCTTCACCACTCTCCTCCCCTTTCCTCTTCCTCCAACCTTCCTACTTCCTTCTCCCCTCCTTTACTCTTTTCTCTCTCCTCTCCTTCCCTCTCATCCCTCTTCAGATACAATTCAGGGGTAATGTCCGAGCAACTCCTCTCTCCAAATTTCCCTATCTGTATTATATACAATAAGATTAATACTTCTATTTATCTAACCTTCTCGGTATATACTTCTATAAACATTTATACAACCTCCAGTTGTATAAAACATTTATACAACCTCCAGTTATTCAATACTGTGTCGCCGGGGTCTCCCTCCTTATCTGCTCCTTCTTCTTCCATCTAAATTGATGTTAACTATCTTTTAACCGTATTCTCTTTTCAGCCAATCATAAAAAGTTCCCCAAATTTCATAGTAGTCTGACTCTGTCTTATCTTTAATTGTCATTGTTAGTCTATTCATTTCTGCACATTCCAGTATTTTCCCAATCACCTCTCCCTCTGGGGGGGCTTTCAGTGCTTTCCAATTTTGTGCAAACACAATCCTGGCTGCCATAATTACATGAATAATTAAATATGTTTTTTCTTTATTGTATTTCTCTGGTAGAATACCCAACAGGAATATTTCTGGTCTTAGTTCTATATGTTGTTGAATCATC